ACATACACACTCACACACTAACACACACACACACACACACACACACACACACACACTAACACACTCACACACTCACACACAAATACACCATGTACATTGTACACTTTTTTATTCTAGCCCTTATACTCCTTTTAAGCCTTTCCCCTTTTCATTTCTCTTCATCGCCTACCTTCTCTCTCATATTATCTTCAAACATCCTCTTCTCACCATCAGCGCCCACTTCCAGAAAACACCCTGACACCGAACACTATCAAATCTCTGACCCCAGTTCCTCCCCCTGACACAAACTCTCCCCCGCAGTAGTCACCCCTGGGTAGTTATTCTGTCCTGTAGTTGTTTCCCTTGACAGCTTTTGGCCATTAACAACTAGATTTATTGGCCCCTTCCCCTGTGCTGATGCGGCCCAATACTCAGGGTATATTTAATGATGCGGCAAAGAAGTAATTTCTCGGTACAGTCTTATATAGCGGTCCATGATATTTTTGGCGTGGGTACACTGTTATGGCAATCTTTATTATTGGCATACTCTAACGGTGGTGTGTATGATTTCCAAGTACACTCCTATGGCATGTTTGGGGTTTTATTTTAGATGTAAGTTTTTTTGTGGCTTCGGTGGTCTAGTTATTGGGGTCTCGGACTCTCAACCGTGATGTCGTGGGTTTGGAAATCCCGTTATTGGCCCGACATTATGTTGTCCTTGGGAAAAGCACTTAACCTGTATTTTCTTTACTCCACCCGTGTGGGAATAGGTACCCAGCTATAGACAGCGAAAGACCTTGTCAGTTTGTTTGTGTCTGAGCGCGTGTGATCCGCAGTTTGCTCTATAATATGCTTCACAGGGGGTCGAGAATGTTTTTGGGTGTTCTCATAACGTCTGCTAGGGTGTAAAGCACCGTAGAATCTGTCCAGAAACGTGTCCCATTCAACAATTTCCAGCGCCGTATTCGAACCTGTCTGGAGAGAAATAGTCAATACCTGGAGCTTAATCTTGATAACTACCACCGTCCCAGATTCCATTGCATGGTGATAGCTATGTGTTATTAATACAATATAGTTATGGTGATGATTTTATTCCTTTGAAGAGACTGGCCAAATGGGAAAATGCGTGTAAAGTGCCTTTACCAAGGACACTACCAAGGAACAAGTTTAGTCTCGGAACCCCCGAACCTGCAATCTCACGATTGCAAACTACTAGACTACTGACGTCACCGCTGCTGCTGCTGCTGCTGCTGATGATGATGATGATGATGATGATGATGATGATGATGATGATGATGATGATGATGATGATGATGATGATTGTGTCATTCTCATAGAGAACGGTATATAAATTCAGTAGCCCATGTTGGCCCATTCGCAGCTTGCAAGCCCCCCCCCACCCCCCCCCTTTCTCTGTCTGTCTGTCTGTCTGTCTGTCTGTCTGTCTGTCTGTCTGTCTGTCTGTCTGTCTGTCTGTCTGTCTGTCTCTCTCTCTCTCTCTCTCTCTCTCTCTCTCTCTCTCCCTCTCTCTCTCTCTCTCTCCCTCTCTCTCTTTCTCTCCTTTCCTTCACTCTATCCCTTTATCTGTCTTTCTGTCTTCCTCCCTCTCTCTTTGTCTCCTTTTCTCTCGATATTTTCCTTTCTTCACTTCTGTCTCTTTTATTTTTTTTTCTCCAGCTCCCACTCCCATCCCCTCTTCCAATCTCTCCCTTCCTCATCTCTCAGCCCCTTCCTTCATCCTCACCCTCCTCCTCCCCGTCCCTTTCCCCGATAAAACCTGCACGACCGATGGCTATTTTGAGCTCATATGTTCAGGATCTGAAGGTTTATCTTCAGACTTTTCCCCCCCGAAAAACCATGTTAGAATTATGTTTTTTTTTTATCAGGATGGTTTCTCGTAAGTTGACGCTGAGCGTAAGAGGGAAAGGTAAGGTGAGGCAGGTGTGGGCCTCGAGAGACGAAAGTTTGCACATGATAAGACCGGCGCGGCCGATGGCTATTTTGAGCTTATTATGCACAGGGTCTGGAAGTCAATACCTTGTTTGTTTTCATATTTACCCGAACAAAAACCCAACTTGCTGTAGTTATATTTTGTGTCCATACGGGGTGCTCGTGTGAAGAAAATTTTAAGGCTTAACTGATAGATATCAGGTCACCGAAAACTGTAGTTGAACGAGAAAAGGTTGGGTTTTTTTAAATTCAAGGTGGATTTATGCTTGGATTCGCATTGATAGATGTCCGACGTCTCTTGGCGCAGGGGTTAGACACTCTGCCGTCACAAGCAGAAACATGGGTTCAATTTCCGTGCGAGGAGGGTTTTTCATATTGTTGTTTTTTACTCGAGTGTCTTTGTTACTATGTTCTCTGGGAATTTGTATCTTTCTCAACTCGAGTAGGCCCAGACAACCGGACTGATAGTCCGAAGAATCCCACCGCCTCTTTGTTACTATGTTCTCTGGGAATTTGTATCTTTCTCAACTCGAGTAGGCCCAGACAACCGGACTGATAGTCCGAAGAATCCCACCGCCTCTTTGTTACTATGTTCTCTGGGA